CAAAAAGACCAAAAAAAAAAAAAGACTGTAATGAATTAGTCTCTCTTTTATGAAATTAGAGGGGTATTGGCTATAGCCACCCTTGAGGAAACTGAGAAAATAGAACAAGGGTACTCAGTTTTCTACATGACTAATTCTCTGGCAATGCATGGTTGAGAGAGCCTGTGCAACCTAGAACAGTGTCCTGTAGCTGACGCTGATCGGTCCCTTTGGAAGCTGCGAGCTGTTGTTTTCTCCGGAGATGGCAGGTGGTGCCCGCAGAACATCTGCAGTAGGCTGTGAGGGGAGCCTTTCTCCTTCTTCAGCCCCTGAGGTCTGGCTGGAGGGACCTCCTGTGTTCTCTGCTCCTTAGCATGCCTCACACTTGGGTTCGCATGACTTAGAGGTGTCGTAGACTTTTGAAGCAAACCTACTCTCATGAATAGTTTTTATAAGCTCTTCTTGGCAAGCGGGAACCTAATGGATCGAGTATTACAGATACTTCTTGTTTGGGTGGGGTGTGCATCAGTCATTTCGGGGTGAAAATCAGGGGCCGGGGAAATCAGTGACTCGAGCGCTGTCGCGTAACAGCGCAGTCCAGGCCAAGCGCACCGGAAGGGCTCTGAGAGGCACTTCCAGGTCACAGAGGCCAGAATTCGTCTGCTCTGAAACTGGGAAGCATACTTTGCTTATCTTTCCGCATTTTCCTCTCTATGTTTTTATTTCCTACAAACCCGCTGGTCTTTTCCTTGTGCTTTCATATCTTTTTCTGGACAGATTTAGGGCTGACAGAGGAAAAAGTTAAAACTTAAGCTGGTTGGTCTAGTTTCTGGTTAGCTCTTCAAATAGATTAAGCTCGAGAGAAACTTAAACCACTGATTAAAGTCAGCTCCTCGGATTACTTGTGAACTTTAGATAGTCTCTATTTTCAGGTGGCACAAATAAAGGATTATTTTTCACTTTTGGAAAATTGACCTCTGTTTTCAGAAGATATTTTCATTGGATAATGACCCTCTTGTTTGAGATTTACACCCATGTGTGTATTTTACCAGTCATGAGTCCCTGGAGCACCAAAGTATTTTAGGAAAAGAGTAACCCAAGTCCTTTCTGTGGCCTTTCTTTCCAAATGAGGCCAAAGAGAAATAAAGTACTTTAGTCTTTAATCAGTTAAAATACCGATAGTTGGGAAAATAACAAACAGAGTGTTTTCTGCCTATTGTAAAGGAAAATAAAATGTTTACTCATTGGGAACACTATATCTCCTTCAAGGGTCCTCCCTCCTATCTTTTCTTCTTACCTTCTTTGAAGAAATCTTTCTCTTATCTGAGCAAACACTGTTCTTGGCTTGACTCTTCTTCTTGGCATGGACGTGAGTGTGACCCCTGAATTCTAGCGTGGGTTCTTACTGTTAGGTAGAAGTTTGAAACGCAGTTCTTCTTCTTTGTTTTATTTTTTTATCCATCATATTTCTGCATTCCCTAACTCTCCTTTACAGCTTTTTAAACACCTCACAAAGCGGGAAACTCTTTTGGATACAGGGAATTCTCTGGTAGGTGTAGAAGGAAAAGCTAATAACAGATGTAGGGTTTCATGGTTTAGTATTTGCCTGTGTGAAAGCTGCTATTAAATCAAGAGAACTTTTTATTAAGTGTGATTAAAGTTAGAAGTGTTTCTAGCATCCGCATAAGAGAAAAACCAGAAGCTGTCTACATCTATGTTTGTAATGAAATTCAGAGGACAAACACATGTCTAAAGCTATAAATGAAAGCAGAAGCATTTTGTGAGTTTGCAAAGGTCTAAGAATTGCAACAAATGCTCCAAACTTCAATATATATATGTATATATATATGTATATATATATATATATACATATATATATTTAAA